AAAGTGGCGAGTTATAAAATGACTTCAGATGGCTGTTGGTACTGTGATGAACCAGGCCATTTTACTTCGAATTGTCCACATAGAGAAGCACACGTAGCCCAGAAGAAAATCAAGCTTCTTGGGAACCGAATGTATTTTACGCATAATAATACTGCAGTACCTAGAGGGAATGGCGAAAAATCCGTTCGACAAATTGTCGAGGAGGCTAGTAGGCAAAATTCGACTCTACAAAATAATATGTTTGCAGAGCCTGGAGAAGTCTTTAGTCAAGAAGCTGTTGTCCCAGGTATAATCAGGCTACCGGATAATAATAATGGAAATGAAATTTCCGTTTTTACAAACCAAATGCGAGATACAAGAGACGATGTGATTCTCAACATGAACAACCAAGTGTTAAAACTTACCGACATGCTTGCGAACCTTGTTACAAACCCCAATAAAACGAGGGACGTAGACGCGTCGCAGTTTGCCGTCACCCGTAGATCTCAAACCGAGACTCAGGGACAGTCGGGAAACTAAAGAGTCCGATGAAGGGGCCTTCCAGTAAGACTAAACCCAATGCTGGAGAACCAAAGGCACCGGAGGACGCACCAAAGAAAAGGGGTAGGAAAGTTGTGATTATCGAAGAATCAGAGGAAGAAGAAACTCCTCCCGAGAAACCAGAAAATCTCAATGGACCAAAGAAAACTTTGAAAAATAATCAAAAATTACTTGAAAGAAATGATGATGTCGAGGATCCTAATCCAAGGCACAAACAATTACCGTATCTCGGTATCCCAGACTTAAATAGTAATGCGAAAGAATCGGTTGAAGAGTATGACCCAGTGCCTTTCTATGAGAAGCGCCCGATAGCATACAAGCATTTAGCTCCAATAGAAAATGTTAAAAATGAGGAACAAGCGTTGAACAGTCTGTTAAAAGCACCTGTTACTCTAAGCGCGGAAGTACTTATGAGCATTTCTCCTGGAGTAAGGCAAGAATTGTTTAAGGCCTTAGCTAAAAAGAAGGTACCAATTCAGACTGCTCACAATCGAAAAGTAACTATAGTCGAGGAGGTTGATAAAGACGCACCTCCAATTAAAAAGCAAGAAGATAATTTTAATTTCG